ATTTTAAAATATATAAATTATTATTTAAACTTTTAAATTTATAATAAATAATTTAAATTGTATCATAATATTAATTTTAAATAAAAATAAGTAGATTGTTAATTATAAAAGTAAGTATATATATAAATAAAGATTAATTAAATATAATATAATTATTATTAGTAATATAATTATTATATATTTATAACGGTTCGGACACACCGGAATGAGAGGGATCCAAAGATACTATAAGTATGAGATTGTATAGTTGAGAATGACTTAAATGAATTAATTTGTACTACTTATACTGACAGCATGTATCTGCTTTTCTGTAGTTTATCTCATCAGAACTCCATAGTTCAGTGTGCTTGACTTGGAGTAATACAGGGATGGATGACCTTCTGGGAAGTTTCCTAGAAACTATGTAAGTAAGGACTAAACATGCTAAAAAGTGAAGTATTGTGAAATAGAATCCTTGAGAAGAATAGCAACTGAATTTGAGATGTCTAAAAAATTTAATAAAATAAAAAATCAATATTTAGTGACTGATTTAGAGACAGTTAGTGCGACGGGTGCTATAAGGGTCGCAATTTCAATTTTGCGACAGTTTGTGCAACGGTTTCAGTAACCGACGCAAAATTCACTCGTGACGGACATTTCTGCGGCGGTTAGTGAACCGTCACAATGGTGTCTTTGCGACAGTTTTAACTGTCGCAATTAGGGGTGGGCAAAATGAACTGAACTGAACTTATAAAAACTATACTAAACTTAAAAATAGTTCTCATGAACTGAACTAAATTAAATATTAGTTCTGACAAACTGAACTGAACTGTTTTTTATTCTATTAAACTATACTGTACTGAACTATACTAAACTATAATATAAACTAAACTGAACTGCTCTACACCTTAATCTGTTTTTGAACTGCACTATTTTTGAACTGAACTATTCATGAACTGCTTCTAAACTTTGCCTAAACTGCATCATGTCCAAGAACAAATTACAACCTTATAACACGCTATCAAATAAAAAAGATTATATAAATTAGTTTGATTAAGGAAAAAAAGAATACCTCTCCAGCGTCAGTAAGATAGCCACCTATGGCAGTAAATTCCTTTCTATATACATGCATCAATAAATTTATAGACCCCTGAAATAGTAGAAAGTTTATTAAAGATAATAGCACTGACAAATAAATAGAAAGACAAATATGCAGTGAGACACAATCACATAATTATAACCTAATCATGTTAAAATCCCACATCCCAAATATAGTAGTAAGTAGTAACAATATGCAGATGGCAATTCCAAATTTTCTGTTTCAAGATACAGCTCAGTGTAACATGGAGCATTCTGGATGCTTACCTCCCTGATCTCTAATGTTGGCATATGTGGAAGAAAATCGTTGCCAACAAAGAAGCATAGAAATACAAAATCGTCCAACTCGTCCAAAGTCAATCTCAAAAGGAGGGTTTGGTATCTCCAATTAAAATTGCAAATATTCCCGCAGCACCCAGATATTTAGAAACTGTGAATATTATGAATTAGTTTAAAATTAAGAGAGAGAAAAAAAAAAGAAAAAAAACACTTATCCTGTTGTCCAGGTAAAGTAATTACCTATTCATGCATTAAGTAATCATTTGAGACAATCCATAGAAATCAATTAGCTAACAATATCATCAAAATATTCAGACATTGGAAACTAACCTCCCTCAATATCGAGAAGTGAACCTCATGTGTAGCTAAGGAGAGCATAATTAGATCAGCATCCTGGTTTAAGGATCATAGTGTTCAAAAATCTACCTTACCTGAATATACCCCAAAAGTGATGAGACAACAGCAGAGTAAGAATGCACAAGATGTTAAGTAGTTGGGAGAATTTGTTAAGAAGACATAGATTTCTCAAAACAATAAAACTCTTCAATCCTAGTGCATGTTGTCCAATGAGACACAAGGAGTCAAAGTGCAGAAACGTTTTTATATTTGCCAACTAGGAATAAGAGCCAATGCAAGAAAGACACTGGATGTCACAGAAAAGCTTGAGTTCAGATAATTAACTCGTGAATGAAACACAATGCACAGACACAATAATACTGCCTTTTTACAACATAAATAAACCTGAAATGCAACTATGATAAAAATCATTCCATCTAATGAGTTATGACAAATACCTGAGATAGACTTCATGTCTGAATCTGTAACACATTTACAGCATCCAATGTTAAGTGACTCAAGAACAATTCATTATTTAATAGACAATTGTTTCTAACAATTAACACCATTGGATATTACCATCAGAGACACAAAACAGATCCGAAAAACTATCTGATCATTGAACAAAACAGAACATGAATGTGGTTTTTAACAGTTAATACACTGAAATTTTGAAGGATATAACCTCAATGTAGCAGACACGGAGACAACCAGAACCCAAATCCAGAAATGCAACTCTTGCAACTAGTTTCCCACCCTTTAAAATAATATAACTATTTTTTTTAATGTTAAGATAATATTTCATCAATACAAATTATCGTAAGTATAATTAATTCTTAATTATTAATTTTAATATATTGTATAAATCATGTTTATAAAAAAAAGCAAAATCCTTTGAAAACATATGTACGTCAATCATACCCCCAACTCAGAAAATCATTCGTAGAACCTCAAACCCTTGAAACCAATGCACAATCTCAAGTCCAAATGAAGATAAGAAGCTTTTCACACATAGAGAAAAGGGAATACTTACGATTTAGGGAAAAGGGAAGATTGCATTGGGCGGTGGCTGGTGAATTAGGGATTCCAATTTCGCATAGAAAAGGGTAGCGTGTGTGCGTATTTTAATTGCAATTTGCAACCCGTGCCGTGCTCGTGCAGTGCAGTCGTGCGTGGTTTTATTTTTTAACATGTAGTTAATTTTAGTTAACTAAACTGTAACTTAAATTAGTTCAGTTTTTTTAAAACTGAATTAAGAAATAGTTTAGTTCAGTTTTATTTTAAATAGTTTTAGTTTTTTAGTTTAAAATAATTCAGTTATTAATAGTTTTAGTTAAGTTAATTTTGCCCAGCCCTAGTCGCAATATAGGTCATATAACTATCACAAAATCATCATTTTCTTGTAGAAGGTTTCTTTCTATATCGGATAGGTCAACACCTATTATAGAAAAGGTTGGAGTAAAAGGTTGACTAACACTTTTTATGATAAATGTTGACTTACCCGATATAAAAAGAACATTTTATGATAAGTAAGTCAACACCCATTATAGAATGTTTTAGCATAATTACAAGTATGTCGCCTCACCACTTTGTATATCATATGAATAACAATCGACATAAAGAGTGCGCCAGCAAATAATGTTTTTGTACTTGTGTGTATACTCTGTTAAGTCAGACGAAGCAATTCCCAGTAAAGTTTTGAATGAGACAAATATAATACATGTTATTTCTAACAAGTGTGTTAGTGTTTCAGAAAAACATAAGTATAGGTAAGTTGAAGAATAGAGTATGTGCATGTGCCAAGAGAAAGAAAGAAAAACTTCAAGTCAGACGAAAAGATAGCAAATACAAGACAAAACATACTACCAGTCGAAGTCTTGAAGTATCAAATGAAAGGCCAAAACAAGTATCAGATAAGGCTGAATCAAGAACAAGACAAAATTAAGGATTCCATGAACTCATTTTTCAAAACTATTAATTAACGATTAGTCTGGTTTCTGGGCATTTCCTAATTGATGAGATTTTTAAAAGGATGTCTAAACCATAGGTCGCGAGATCAGAAATTTTCGAGTTGCGACACCCCATACAAGCACCTCCAAGCACTTCATCTCTACAATGGAGGTTGGGTACTTCCAATAGGTCCCACCAAAAAGCTTACATCATTATATTTTATTATGAACTTATTTATTAATTTATAATAATTTATTTATTTATTTATAAATTAATTGATTTTAAAAAAAATAACCAATTTTTTTTATAAAAGCCATATTGGGAATATCTTTTGGGTTGGGTAAATTAGGTGAATTTTGAAAATTTGGATTTGTGGGTTGTTGATAATTTGGTATCAAATTAAACTATGGATTTTGGTTTGAATCCATAAAATGAAAAGAAGTTGAGAATTTTTTGAGAGTGATAGAGAGAAATTGAGATGTTTAGTTGTGCAATTTTTCTTTTGAAAAAACCCTTATTTATATACAAATAAGAAAAAGAAAAAAAAAAGTAACTGTTGTATTTTAATATTTGTTGATTGATTTGCACATTACTAACTAAAGCAACCTTTGATCAGGAAGCACTCCAATTCAATTGCTTCCAACGATGACAAACTAAGAAATAACGTTGCTTCCTTGAAAGAGTTGATTCGTGAGTTACCGATAAAGGAGCGAGCTTTTTGGAAGTTTTATAAAAGTCGAGCTAAAATGTTGAGATACACTAGATTTTGTAAAAATTATTAATTGGTGCTAAGAGATTTAGAAATGTTTGTGTTGAACGGAATAATAGTGTTGGGTCCCTGCCAATTCCCTTTTTTTTCTCATTTCATTTTTTCCAATCTTATTATTAATTGTGTTACACCTTGCAATTGCTTGTGAGCGTTGGAGATGTTGGAGCTTGAATATTGCTATCTCAAGAACAAATTGCATGAATTATTCCAAGTGTGCCAAATTACACAACTTTTATTCATTTCATATTCATTTTCCTAGCAAACCATTCTTTATTATGTTTATTATTTGGTAATGAGTAGATTAGAAGCAACGTGCTTTGGAAAAAAGAGTTAGATACTCGGTGTTGAATTAATTAATAGAGCAAATGAAATGATGTAGGAAATATTTTTAGTATTTTGCCTTGTTTTTCTTTATGGTTTGATAAGGTTAAGGGCACCTCTTTCCGATTTTAGACAAACCATGCTTTCTAATTTGATTATTCAATTGTCACATCCTTTTTGGATTTTTTCTATTATAAGGGTATTAATTTTTCGTAATAATTTTAATTGCTATTTGCAGATTCATCTATTGTAGACGCATTATTTCCAAAAACACTCAAGGTCTCATTTTGGTGGTTGATAGCAATGACAAAGATCGACTGGTCAAGGCTAGGGATGAGTTGCACAAAAAGTTGAATGAGATATATATGATTTTTATAGCCGTGTTACTTTGATTCACATATATATTGATAGGACACTTAAATTGATATAAATTTTATTAAATAACACTGAAATAAAATTGTTTGTCTTTTTCTCAAAGTTGTATGATTCCTAAAGATATTATTCTTTGCCTTGAATTTAGAATTATAACACACATAATTTTATCGTCAAACGCTATTACTATTAAACAAATACTATAACTCTTCATAACTTTCGCTTTTACACCCTAAAATATCAACGCTTAGCTTTTCCATGCTACGTATAATTACTTTTGTTGTTTCTTAATTGTCTTTCTATTGCTTAGTTAATAATATGCAATATATATGTTCTTTTGGTATTATTTCTTCTTTTTCTTAAAGCTTAAGATTAATATTTATTGAAATTCTTGTAAATGAAGGATTTTCTGGTCAGTGCCATATGTTTGTTCACTAAAAGTAACATTGTTATGTTGTTTAGAGCAATTTATTAAAAGCATATATTATTTCAATGCTTCAGTAATTAATCAATTCAACAACCACACTTAAAGCACATTATTGCTAACAATTATTTATTGATTCTATTGATAATGGTGTTCATTTACCTGTTAACAAAAAGGCATTACTTGCAGCATCTCAAGCATGTTCAAAAGCACCTTGTGGATTATTTATAAATTGCTACTTGTGAAAAATATAGAAAAGGTAAGTTGAGTTTGATCACCTAGATATAATTAAATTTAGTCATTGACTCTACCAATTTTCTTCTGTGAAGTCACTTGTCAAATTTTAATATTCAAACTGAGAAGATATGGCTGCTTAAGAATGTGATGCAACATTACCATATTTATAAGCCACTATTAAGTACATATATAGTGGGGTTTTGCTTTTGTTATGGTTGATGCCCACACGTAAAAATAATATTTTCTACATCCATTTTTAAATAGATATAGAATGTCTTACACTTTTTATGTTACTTTAATCTACATCATTTTAAAAATTGATTTATTTTTTTTTTAATTTGAACTCAACTTAGTTTAAATTTGTCAATAGTTTAATTTAATTCGTTAACTTGAATTATATGAACCAAAATTCCTATGGATAAAAAACACACTTTATTTTTTGTTAAAATTTATCAAAAATAAAAAATAAATTTGAGTTCTTAATTAATGAATTTCAAGTTATAATTTTTTATATGAATTTATACTTATATATATAATGCACAAATATTTATTAATTGGTGAGTTTATTAATTATTTTATTCCTATATCTGGATCAATATTTTTTTTATTTATATACTTATAATTTCTGTGTTTTAGATATTATATGGGTACTTTTTATATATATTTTAGCCATTATGCTTTCATTTTGTGGAATTTTTACACTATAAAATAAACTAACAAAAACATAAATATAAAAAAAAAATTATTCCTATAGACATTAAAATGTAGAATTTTTACATAAAGAGATTAACAAATTATTAATTAAACCTTAATCAATTTAAATGAATATTACGAATATGTGTGTGTAAATGTATCATGTCGTTCTTTAAACAGTGAACTTATGATATTCTAATGTCAATTAGCCTCCAATCATCCAAACATAAAAAAAAAAAAAAAAAAAAAAAAAAA